CGTGGCCTAATGGAAAGGCGTTGGTCTTCGGAACCAAAGATTGTGGGTTCGAGTCCCACCGAGATCGTTTTTCTCCGTTTTTTAGGGGCGGAGGAATAGTCATTGAAGGACCAACCGATTTCATTTTCGAGAAGGAGTGCACGGCTATCACATTCCCTGACTTTACGTCTTTACCAACGGATAGTTACTGCCGATATGAAATCGACCAGACTGCTCGTGACATACCCGTGGTCACCATCACCGCTGGCGTTAGCGGCATCGCCGCTGGCATGTACAAGTTCTGTCTAACCGTCCAGAATCCGAGTACAGTCAGTGATACCATCGGTATGTGGACATTCCACAGCTACGCCCTCATCAGCGGAAAGACCTATTTAGACTATTCAACGCAGGTGCGCTATGGGAATGTCGCTTTGAATCTGATATTAACTAGGCTATAACGTCCATTCGTTACACAGCGTTCAGCTATAATGGTCAGGCACCTGGGTTTTCCATCAAGGGCCCAATGCATGCCTATCGGTTACTGGAGCAGCGTCGCCGGGGAGAGTGTGGCGTCGCCTCAGTATCGAGCACTTGTACTTTGGAAGAATTGAGCTACTGGCTCACAGGGAGGGATGATCGTCCTGGTGAGTTCTATAGTGATCTATGTTGACGTCATGGAGTTGAGCTCAACGACTGATCGAACAATGTACCAGGAAATGCGCCCCGCCCCTTTAGAGCGAAATTTCAGCTGTGAAAGTCGCTAACAATTCCCCCCCCCCTGGGTGGCTGGATGCGCAGTCTTCATTTCATTTTAGGATTTGCTAATCAGCTCATATTCGGATTTGCTCTAACGCACGCTGGCCTCGATGGTCAGCTGGTTGTCACAGCTCCGATTGGCTTCGAGTTTGATTATGAATGCGGAGTCGTCACGGATTCCTCTCGGGTGAGTGCTTCGCGCGCCACGAAATTATTGAATATATTCACGTTATTGGTTTGCATAACTTACCGCTGTTTAGCCGGGGACTTGCCCTCGCGCCCCTATGGAACTCTTGTCGCCTAGATGATATTTCGAGTCAATTCGCTCAATCCTGATAGTGAAATCATCATTGCTATTTTCGGAGGATTAAGTAGCGTCCGCTGTGAAAGAATCACAGTCGTACAGGGACATGGTCGACTAGATGTGTTGGTGACAATTTAAGAATTTTCGGGAACTTTTGTTGATTTCTAAGCCTTTCTACCCGAATTCGTATATAAACTTCTATTATTACTGAGGAAACTCCTGAGCTCAGCTGAGGAAAGCGAACATATATTCCTACTCCAACACTGTATAGGAAACTCCTGAGCTCAGCTGAGGAAAGCGAACATATATTCCTACTCCAACACTGTATAGGAAACTCCTGAGCTCAGCTGAGGAAAGGGAACATATATTCCTACTCCAACACTGTATAGGAAACTCTTGAGCTCAGCTGGAGAAAGCGAACATATATTCCTACTCCAACACTGTATAGGAAACTCCTGAGCTCGGGTGTGGAAAGCAAACATATATTCCTACTCCAACATTGGGGAGCTCTATACGTATCTGCCTGGTCATGTTATTGCTCTATTGATAACAGGTTCTCGATGCTACCAAGTCGATAGGCGACACATCCCTTCCAGATAGCTTCACCCAGCTTTACGAACCGTGGCCAGCTCCGCCGTTTGGGGAGATTACGCGTTGTGCTGGCGAGGACAACGTGGCTCGTATGGACATCAGGCAGGGGCTTAATGCAAGCAAATTATATATATTCCGGCTTGGCATTTTGAGGAACCCCAACGCGACGCCACAGCGCAACAAGTGGCTCATCGAGTACGGGAATGAAACCTCAGAGCCGATCGATGGTTTCCCGATATGGGCATTCTACTATGGGAAAATTACGGCTAGTGATACTAGCGCTAGCTCCAGCATTCGACCTACTTATAATCTGGTTACTATCGAACTTGGTATTACTAACACTATTCCGGGTGGAGGGCTCATTGAAGTAAGTCCTCCAAAGTCGTTATTTGATTGAGTGTTTTGTTGTTGTAGATAGAAGCACCGACGGGCTTCCTGATAGCTTCGGGATGTGAGGCCACAGTGAGTGAGAGAGACACTGGTGTGCCGATCGAAGTGGAGTGTAAAGG